GTCATCCTCCCAGTGCTTGAATTTGCACAGCCCCGGGCCCGCCGTCACTCCCTAGCGCTCCCCGGAGGAACCAGCAACACCCCAACCAACCCACTGATCTCCCTGTCCTCCCTTCACCTCCTGCACTTTGTCACTTGTTCAGTATTAATGCCGCAAAAAAGACGTTAAAAATACAGCGAGATTTCTGCCTTGGGAGGCCAACAGAGAAGAGAGAAGGAGCTTAGACAACTGGGAATGACAACAGCCGGCATGTACTTGGGAATGCCTGGCCCAGCCTCAGGGACACCAGCACCCCGTCTCCGTTGATGTGCCCTTCCTGTCCCCGTGTCATCTCCTCCCTGAGACTCATGTAGGTGAGCCTGCTTGGTAGTAGAGGCAGGATTCGAACCCAGGCCTGCTGGCTCCCGATCTGTGCTCTTAACCAGCGCACTCCGGCCCGAGGAGCAGGGAGCGCCTGGTGGCTGCTCTGGCCTGTGCGTGCGCACGTGGGCCTGCTGCACTAGGTGGCAGTTGCTGCCCGGCTTGACCCCGAGCCTCCGGGCCAGGAACCGTGCCAGGCCTGGGGATCCCCAGGAAGGGCCTCCGCTCCCTCTTCAGCAGCACGTGAGTAAACTGTTGCCTCCGGGGGAACCTGGCTGACCTGAGCTGAGCAGAAAGGCCACAGCCTCCTCACAGAGAGAGTGAGGGAGAAAGCCAAGGAGCTCAGGGACTGGGGGTGCTGGTCAGGCAGGTGCAGGGGCCAGGGCTCAGCTAGAGGCGGGAGGGAGCCCTCGAAGGACCCTGAAAAAGGGAGCGGCATGATCCACTCCACGTTCTAGAAGAGTCACTCTGTCAGCAGTGAGGAAAGAGCCCCAGGGAGTAGGAGAATGTAAGACATGCCAGTTAGGGGAGTGTGACCCAGACTGGCGGAACTGGAAGCCATGGGGCTTGGGTACGGCTGGACAGAGGAGGCCGGAGACAGGGAAGAGTCTGGCCACTCCCAGGCTCTGGCTTTGTCCTGAGGTCAGTGTGTCCCACCTCTCCCCACCCAGCACGAGGGGTGTGAGGAACCCCCTCCTGTGAGCAGAGGTACAAGACCTTTTCTTATTCGGGGCTGAGAGAAGGGAAAGAGAGCAGTGTCTTTCATTGTTGCTACGAAACATGACAAATGAGGAAGGGAGAACCGCCCCCTGCAACATTGTCCCACACGTGATTGTCATTCTTCTGTTCCACTCTTTGAGAAAAAGTGTTTCTTTTCTGTGCTCCTTCATGTCTTGACCATCAAACTAATTCATCCGCTTTACGGTGGCCCTTAGGGACAGCTGTCGACCTGGGGAGCCCCAGACACCGAATCCCCTCTCGTTCCTGTCAGTCATGTGGATCTAGGACTGGCCAGCCAGAGGGCCTACTGTAGACAGCAGGGACTGTCGGTTCACTGTTGACAGCAAGGCCCTGGGAAGGCCCCAGGAAGAGGGAGCCCGCTGCTGAGCCAAGCAGAGCAGAACCCCCGCCCCAGCCTGAGCAGCAAGGGGCACAGAGGGGAGGCCTGGGTGGCTGCCCCACACTGGAAGCTTTGGGGGTTTGTGTTAGGACACCCCAGTCCCCATAGATAGAACAGTGTTGGGTTGTTTTTTGTGGGTTTTTTTTTTTTTTAAGATTTACTGCGGTATAATTTATATACCATATAATGCATGCATTTTAAACATAAAAGTCAATAATCTTTGGCGCCATCATCCCCATAAATCCAGATATCGAACATTTCCATCACCTCAGAGAGTTCCCTCCTGGCCCTTTGCAGTCCTCCCTGTCCCCACTCACAGCCCCAGGCAATCAGTAATCTGCTTTTGGTCTCTCTAGATCTGTCCCCCACCCCCCTAACCCCCGCCACTTTTTCGAAATTTTATATAAATGGAGTCTACAGTCACATAGTAGGACGTTTTTGAAATTCGTCCACGCTGTGACAGGTGTCAGTGCTACACTCCTTACTGTGGGATACTGTTCCGTTGTCCAGGATGTGCCACAGTTTATCTCACCAGGTGGTAGTCTCCAGGATTCTTTCGGATTTGGGGCTATTATGAATAATGCGGCAGCGAATATTCACTTCTGAGTTTCTGTGGGCTCTAGGCTTCCTAGGTCTCATGAGAGCAGAGTTCTCATTTAACTAACTGTTTCAGATACTGACAAGCGCTTCCACAGCCGCTGCCCCCCTTTCCCTTCCTAGAGGTGGTGGTTGGGGTTCTCATTCTCTGTGCAGCCTCACGAACACTTGTCACTCTGGTTTGTTTTTGTTTTATTAAGATTTTATTTTTTTTATTTGAGAGAACACAAGCAGGGAGAGTAGCAGGAGAGGGAGAAGCAGACTCCCTGATGAGCAGGGAGCCCAATGTGGGGCTGGATCGCAGGACCTTGGGATCAGGACCTGCGCCGAAAGCAGATGTGTCACCAACTGAGCCTCCCAGGCGCCCCCATTCTCTGCCTTTTTGATCATTGCTGTCCTGGTGGGTGTGAGGCGGTATCTCATTGTGGTTGGGGTATGCATCTAATGGCCAGGGATACTGTACATCTGCTCGGGTGCTTTGAATGTTTTATACTTTGTATAGTGTCTTTGAAGAAGTGTCTATTCAAATCCCTGGCCCATTATTTAAATTGGTTGACAGTTCTTTATATATTCTGGATCCAGATCCTTTTTCAGACATCCTCAGTAACCATGTTCTCCCAGTCTGTTTTTTCTCTTTCCATTTTCTTGAGAAATTAAAAAAAAAAAAAAAAAACTTCTGCACTTTAGGAGGACAAGTTTTTGGTTTTTGGTTTTTTTTGAGGATGTCCTATTGATCATTTTCTCTTCTAGATCCTGCTTTTGGTGTCATATGTAGGAAATCTGCCTCACCGAAGATCACCATTTCCCTTTGTATTTTCTTCCTAAAAGCGTTACAGGTTTAGCACTTACATTCATGTCAGTAACCATTCTGAGTTCATGTATCGTGTTACATAAAGGCCCAGCTGCTTTCTCTTGTGCCTGGATAACCAGCTGTCCCAGCCACTTGTTGAAGGACTCTTTTCCCTTCAAGGAGGTCTCTTTTCTGTCAAAAGTCAGTTGACCAGGAATATGAGTTTGACCATGAGTATGACCATGAATATGAGAGTTTACTTCTGAACTCTCAGTTCCACTGATCTGTCGATACACCAAGACCACACTATTAATAGCTTTACATAAAGTTCTGAAATTGGGACAATAATTCCTTGAATTTCGCTAAGTTTCAAAATTGTTTGGGCTGTTCTGGGTCTTTTGCATTCCCATGTAAGTCTCGGGATCAGATTATCATTTCTGGCGGGGTGGGGGGGGGGACATATCATCTGGAAATTTGACAGGGATTGTGTTAAATCTATACATTCCACCTAAGATGGAAGAATTGCCATCTTAACGGTACTGGGTCTTCCAATCCATGAACATGGACTGTCTCTTCATTTATTTTATATATCGGATTTTCTCTCTTAAGAGTGATTTATAGTTTTTAGTATGCAAGTCCTGCATTTTTCTTTTTTGAGATTTTATTTCTTTGACAGCGAGCGTGCACGTGCACGTGTGAGTGCAGGGAGGAGCAGAGGGAGAGGGATAAGCAAACTCTGTGTCGAGCACAAGCACAGGCTCGATCCCATGACCCTGAGATCACAGTCTGAGCCAAAATCAAGAGTCAGATGCTTAATTGACTGAGCCACTCAGGTGCCCCAAGTCTTGCCTTTTTTTTTTTTTTTTACTTATTTCTAGGTATCTTCTTGTTCTTTTGATATTATGATAAATGGAATTTCCTTAATTTCATTTTCACCTTTGTTGCTAGCATGTAGACATATAGTTGACTTTTTTGTCTGTTGATCTGGTGTCTCATGACCTTGTAAGTCAGTTTTTTGATGAGGTAGAGCCACCTGTAGTGCCAGAGAGTCAGAGGCTCCTGGAGAGCCTGCCGCAGGAGCCTTCTGCCTAGGGGCATCCAAGAATAAAGGTCTCCTCACTAAAGGGTGGGGGCACAGCTCTTAAGCAACTCCAGTGGAAGGTCTTCTTTAAACTGACCAAGATCCACATCCCCATACCCTCTGTCCACTGGTGTGTGTCCACACTCTGATGGGAAGCAGAGAACTCCACTCCCCTTTCCTTGAGACCAGCCAGCCCTCCCTGGCCTGTGCATTGCATGACACAGTGGAACCATGACTTCCTGTCACGTGGACACCACGGTCCACTTTTCTGCAGTCCAGCACTGCACTGCTTCCCAGAGACCACGAGACACCTTCTCCCCCAAAATACACTTTTATGTCAAAGGAGAGATGTTCGAGCGATGATGGACTTTTTAAATGTTGCGTATCTCCTAATCTCTTTGGGACTCTGGTAGGTTCCCCCAAATAGCAGAGGAGTGGAGATAAATGGCACATGCTCTAGGCTCCCACTCAGTCACAGCATATGGCCTCTGGCACGGTAGCTCAGAGAGGGGACCGCTTCCACTGGTGGTGTGCAGAATGATTTCAGGAAATATACAGGACACAACAATGAATAGGAACTCACAGTGAGAAAAAGTACCATCTTTCAAAGTATCTTCCAGTCTCTCTAGTTCTGGCTGGAGAAGATCTCTGTGAGTGCTGGCAGGTCTGTCACATCCTCTTTAACCCATTAATCCACCTCCCACCCGCCCACTGACCTGTTTCTAAATGAAGAGCAAACTTTGGGAACTAGTACAGTTTATTAATACTGTGTCATTGCGTATTATTTATGGCGAGTGCTTTTCCATTTACAGTAGTATTGGAACACTGCCTTTCGAAATAAAGTAAAAAATGTTGAGCTGGTGAGAGACGATGTTAACTAGAAGCGGTACAAAGATAGCCAAGGCGAAGGTGGTCTGGGATATCCCACAGGTGGGATGTGCTCGGGGTTTTGGCGGGGGGGGGGGTCCTGCCCGAGCCAGGCCCCAGTCGGGCCCCCTGAGGTGGGCTCGGACCACGGCCGTTAACCACGTGTGCCTGTGCTCTCCCCACAGGTGCGGCGGGCTGGGGCTGGTGCTGGCCAGCGCGGGCTTCGGCATGCTGACGGCGCCCATCATCGACCTGCACAACCAAAAAGGCTACTTCCTGCACCACATAATTTTTGCCTGCTGCACGCTCATCTGCATCATCTGCATCCTCCTGCTGCCTGAAAGCAGGAACCAGAACCTGCCCGAGAACATCTCTAACGGGGAGCACTACACTCGGCAGCCGCTCCTGCCCCACAAGAAGGGGGAGCAGCCCCTCCTGCTCACCAACGCCGAGCTCAAGGACTACTCCGGCCTCCACGATGCGGCCACTGCAGGGGACGGGCTGCCTGAGAATGCCACGGCCAATGGCATGAAGTCCATGTAGCTCTGGGCACGGACTTCCCTATAGGGGGCACCGTGGGCACCGGGGACTTGGGGGCTGTTTGGGCACAGGTTTACAGACCAGGGACCAAACACGTGGCTGGGGGGCAGGAAAATCAGGTTCTGCTGCTGCTGCCGTGGATCCCAAGACCGTCAGCTGGTGTGGGTAAATTCTGTCTTTCCAGAACTTTAAGGATCATGTGTGTGAGGAAGCAAACTCTTTGAAAATAACCCTTCAGACTTTCTTTTCTGCCATGAAATGTTTGTATTTATTTTGGTCATTTTTACGAGAAGCACTTTATTCCCTTTCCTCTAACTGATCTCGAAACAGAACCACCTCCTTCGGAAGAGGGATACGGTTGCCAAGGAGGACGTTGTAAGCAGCCAGCACAGCGGCCCTGGAGGTCACACCATGCTCGCCCAGCACCCCACTGCGGAGCCAGGGGTCACTCATTCTGGGCCCACGCCCCACAAGGCCGCCGGCCTATGTGCGGACAGACTGACCAGTCACGGAGTGGCTCCATGACTGCATTGTAGACAGAGTGAAATGTAAATGAGTAGGCTTTTGCTAGAGAGTCTGTGTATGGTTTTTAAAGGGTTTTTGTGTGTGTGTGTTTATGAGGTAAGAGCTTCTGTTCCATGTGCTGGGGGAAAGCAGCTCCCAAATATCATTAAAACCAGCTTAGTCTTTCCTTCGAGATCATCCTTTTGTACTTGACGCTGGAAGCTCCTTGGGGAAAAGTGTAAACATTTCACCAGAAATCCTAAGTAACGAGTGGTACTAAGGCCACGGTTTGTCGACATGAGTTCGCCTGGCTGAGCTCACCACAAGCAAAGGTGTGGAGAGGTGAGGAGCGGTAACGTCATTAATACTCCTTCCCGGGTTTAGCTCCAGCAGGAAAGTCCCCTCTGTCACACTCGGCTTCCTCGCCAGCACAACCTGAACATGAGGCTACTTTCTGAACTGAAAACCAATAGGAAACTGACAGACCACTGAGGCAAGCCCACAGGACCGAGGGGTGCTCTCCAGGACACGGCCCGTCACCCACATCTCGAGCACACGCCGCACAGAAATCACCAGCCTGGATGACTGTCCGCTCTCACTGACTTCACACTGACAGATTGCAAAGCCTGTGGGAGCCACTCCTCCACGCAGCCCTGCCTTTGCCTGCTTCCTGCTTCCTATCACTTCTGTCAGCACGGAGTGGGGCTCAGGGCAAGGACTCTCACAGGTGAGTCCACCCGACCTCTGGCCTCTCCAAGCATCAAGACCAGTTGAGAGAAAGCAATAACTCACCAAAGTTCAACACCCACCCCGCCCCCAACAGCCAAGGGTTTTCTTTGTGTTCCTCATTGCGTCCCAGACAGTAAAGGCTTCATCCTGCCTTTCCAGGTCAGACTTTCTGCGCCTGAGGGGCGCGTCACGGGAGACTTGGAGGGCCTCCTCAAGGACACCCGGGGGCCACGAACAAACAAGCTTCATTGGTGCAGGCAGGCACTGCCTTGTAGCAATACAGGCACCCGATTTTTTGGACAGCCTGGTTTCTTTCTAGAATTGTCCACCTCTGCACTTTGTGACACATGTCTTTGCTGTGAGCTGTGTTCTTCCTGGGAAATTGTGGTCTTGAGTCTGTGCAGCAGTTAGGTGACTTCCAATGGACAGCTGCTAGAACTCAAAAGGGACAGGAAAGAGGCTGACGAAACTTCCCTTTCTCCCCGTCCAGCTTTCCAACTGGTCTGTTCACAGTCCACCCACCAGCCTCCTCCAAAACTGCTAGACCCCAGTACAAGCCCGCTGACAGGATGAAAACAGTGTGAGAAGGTGAGCAAACTTGCAGGCATGCACGATTCCAGGGAGTAAACTGCATTATCTGTTTCATCACTGGTGCCTGGGAACGAAGGCCGCCTGGCAGTCTCTCCCCAGCTCCAGCTGCTCCAAGCCCAGCTCACCCGCACCTCCCTTCATCTCTTTTAAGTCACTTTCATTCCATGTTTCAATGTTGGTCTGCATTCACCTTAATTTGAGATCTCTGCAGCCTTCATGTGCCAAACTTGTGGGAATACCGTTTGCCTTTTTCAGAGTACTTACTACAAAGCCACCGTGCGGCAAGACCCAGTAAGCACAGGCCACTGGGCGGGTGGGAAAGTGGGAAGCAGCCTGCGTGGCCCCCGGGGCCGCACCTGGCCAGGTATGTGTCCTCACCCCTCACCCCAGGGCCAGGACAGCCCACTTGCTGTCCTCTAGGACTTGGGCATGTTCACTCGCCGTCTGCACGGACCTTCTGTGAGAACCGTCCCAAAGCTGTCGAGTGCCGTCAGCCATCTCTAGCCAGGAAGGCAGAGGTGAGGTACAGCACATACAAAGTCCTATTCCTCGGTCTCTGATCTCCGTGTGACGAGACAACTGTAAAGACCAGTCCAGAGGAGACAGCAGTCAACACTGTCTCTTCAGTGATCCGGACTAGAAGAGAAGCTGGCTATGAGGGCTGGGCTCTTGGGACCAAAGTCTAGCAGATGTGAACACGGCTGACTCACCAACAATCAGCAATGTCTCAACAAAGAGGTCCCACAACTCTTCTCTCCCAGCAGCTGCAGGCTTAGGCTGAGCTCCTGTTCTGTTGCTGGTTTGGCTTCGGGATACCTGAAGCTCTTAAGGAACGAACACCTTTATGAGATGTAGACAAAGCAGGAAAGGTTCCATGTGGGCTGAGCTCAGGGCGATCCCATACCAAGTGAGCAAGGCAGCAAGGGCCCCCCAGAGTCTGAGCCGTCTGCAGCTGCCCTGCTCGGTACGGGAGGGGGCTGCGGCCACCAGCTCCCTGGCGCAAGTCAGTAACGCATGGACTCCTCAGTCCTATTTCCTTCGTGCTTAGTGAGGAAACACTTCTCAGGCACCTGCTACTTCAAGTCCGCCTTCCCCACCACCTCTACCCCCCAGCTGCCTAGGGAGACATCCCAAGGTACGTGCTCCAGCTTCCTCCTCCACCACCCACTCCTGCACCCTGCTATCCTATCAGGGAGCTGTGATCCCCTTCCAATAAAAGTTATGCACAAATGTGAACACCTGAGACAGGGCTGGATACTTCTTCATTTTGTTCTCTTCCAGAAGTCAGCAGTAACACCACATACCCGAAACGTTAGCGCCCCAGACAAATAAGGAAACCGTTTTAAGCGCTTTATTTTCTAAAAGAGTAAAATCACATGTGACTAGGGGAAGGGGGATGGTAGGTTTGTTTGGCCACAGAAGACAAAGAGAGCAAAACTAAACCTCATAAAGGAAGTAACTGCACTCAAACATGACCACTTCCTAGAGCCAAACAAGAAATGACTGAAGTGCCATTAAATGACCCGTGTGACCATCGCATCACCCGGCCCCTAAGTGGCGCGCGGGTGCACAGCACGTGCTGGGGGAGCCCACACTTCAACTTTTAAAGAACACCTCACTTCAATGTATTGTGTGTTTTGGAAAAGCAGTACAGTGTGTTATGTGTAGTGGGGAATACTTCCCTCCCTCTGTCCTCTCGGCAACCCCCACATCTGAGGTTTCTGTGTAAGAACCGTGTTACTGTATGTGTCGACCGGGGCTCCTCTGGAGGTGCTCATTCATAGCACAAGCCTAACCTGAGTTCTGAACTGTCGTTCAAAGCTAAACGTCTGCATGATGTCACATCTGTTGTACCTTTGGGGAAAATTTGTATGTAAATGTACAGAAATAAAAAATGTTGCCCCATTAACAAATTTCCACTGGAATGTCTTCCCTACCTCATCTGATGGTATCCAATGAAGGGCATTTCACAACCATTGACTACAAGTAATAAAAACTCTACCTGTTTATGCAGCTTTCACTGTCCCTACTTCAGCGCCTCTGTAAACCGAGTCTTTGCTCTCACCCCGAGGGGACAGCGGGCGGCCTCTCACCTCGCTTGCAGGGTCCTAATCTTAAAGACAGGCAGAGGCAGAGGTCGGATTGCACGCAAACTGTTCCCTTAGTGATGTTCTCAGACCACCTGAGAAGCAAGGGCCATCAGCAAACTGAAGAGTTCTTTCCTCGTGTACTGATGTCCTGCTAACCCATGGCCTGATGGTTCCTAGAGAGGTCAAGAGAGGACTCTCTTACACTGTGATTCTGTGAGGAAGTTCTGATAACCCAAAACTCTCTTCTTTAATGTAGTATTTTTTAACAAGAAAACACTATTTCTTTAATAAAGTATTTATACCAAACTCTTCTCTCCATAGCCCTGATTTTGTGTTACTTACTCTTCTTAAAAGAGATGCCCACTGTGCTTCCAAGCTATGATTGTGGTGGCTGCAGCCTCGGAAGTCAGCACAGGAAGTCTGTAAAGGAGGCAAGCATCTCGAACCTCAGGCCTGCTCCTCTCAAGTGCCCTTATGTCTTGGCCAAAGTGTAACCACCCCGGGCTGCCTACCACAGGCTCCTTACAAGACTTATGCCACTTCATGAATCCTGTTACAGGGCCCTAAACAATCCACCGCCAGATGGGCCTTGAAGATTAGAAAGTTCTTTGCCAGTGTTCCTCAACCTCACCTGTACTGGGCAGCGCATGGGGAGCTCTTCAAATCTGCCAAAGCCTGGACCCCAGGCCCTCTGAGTCTCTGGGGAAGGGCCAGGCATGGGCAATCTGTGAAGGCCACCCCCAGGGAACGAGTTTGGAGCCCCTGACCCATGACATACTGGCTTTTGGAAAGGAGTGTGAAAGAAAATATGTAGCATGTGGAACTAGAGATTGGAACCCACTACAAGTGGCAGGCAGAAAAAGGCTAAGGTAACCAAAGCAGGTGCTTGGGACTTTGGAGAAAAGAAAGACAATGGTAGCAAGATGAGCAAGGAGGAGTTAAAGCACTTGGACTCGTAACAATGAAGTAGAGAAATACCATAACTGACACCGGACTGCCATGCCGCTTACTCCATCTGCGAAGCATGTATATTATAACAATAACAGCCTAATAATAATAACCCAGCAAGGCAGAGATTATTCCCAATTTACAGGTGAGGAAACAGAGAAGGCAGAGACTTCACCAAGTCCATAAATCCAGTGAGCAGTGTGGAGCGGGGCTCAAACCCAGGCCCAAGGGAGAACACAGCAGGAACAGCAGTGAACAGCCGGGCCGGGAAGAAGATCACCTGACACGTATTTTATAAAGACTTAGTACCTTACCTCTAATCGGGAGTGTACACAGCAGGGTCATGACTAATTTACCTCTTTCCTGCACTATCAGATTAGCCCTCTGCAGTCCCAACAAAATCCCATTTTAACCCCTGTTCCCTCTTGCTGAGTGGACACACACACACATACTTGCCTGCCATTTTGTTCTTCTCCTTCCCCAGGCTGATGGATTGCAGCTTTCTGGCCCACACTCTGGTGAGCGGAAGAAGGAAAGTTAGATTAAGATTTAAAAACAAAATGTAAACACATTAACCTAATGACAAACAGTGAAATTCAATCCCTTTATTTCAATGTATATTGTACATAAGTTACGAATCCTCACTTCTGCCACTCTGCTAGAACTTTTCCGGAAAAGCCTCCATTTCTTCCTTGATCCTGTTTTCTACCAGTAATGCGAAGTTACTGTCTGTGTTTTGAAGGTTATAGCTGACAAACACCTGTTTCTTGGTCTTCCTGGCTAAAAAGACAAAACACATCGGCACAGAAGTGACTGAAATGCCTGGAGGTTGTGT